TTTTTCTTTTTTTTTTCGTTTTTTCTTTTTTTTTTCGTTTCTGCTTCTTTTCTTTTTTTCCTTTTTCCTTCTCTTTTTTTTTTTTCTGCACTTTTCCTCTTCTTTCGTTTCCTTTTTTTTTAATCTAATGCATTCCTAAAGATAAACAAACCAAAAAAAACAGAACTTCATAAGAAGGAAAACGATATTGAGCACAAGACTATTTCATGGGTTTTGTTTAATTACTTTAATTAAACTAATCTAATCACATCCTTCCTGTCTTTCCTCCCTAAAAATCTAATTCAATTAAAGAAAATATATGAAAACAAAACAGCCATGTTGGGAATGACGCAAAGTGATAAACAGTACAAATGAAGAAAGAAATTATGAGAGGCAGCAAACTGACGAACAGAGCAGATGGAAAACAAAATGAAGAATGAAAATATGAAAGGCTTCTACCAATTTTCTCATGATCCATTGTAGAAAGAAACAATATAACAAGGAAACCAAAGCAATTACTGATAAAAAAAAAAAGGAACATGACTGAACAACACCCAAAAAAAAATTAACAATGCACACCCGAAAAATATGAAAAATCAAGCTTTATTTCCTTGAAGTTCTGGTTACAAGCTGCTGTACTTCCTCTCAATCTCTCCAATTTTGCTTCCAGGCTCGCCAATTTTCTTCCCTTCTCCCTCCTCAATTTTTCTCCCAATTTTCGACCTCCCCTCTCAAAGCCGAAGCTTCCCCTTTTATACAGAAACAGGGAGAACCCAAACCCTTTTCTAATTCTAAATTCTTATCTCAATCCCTAAAATTACAGATAATAATCTAGCCCTATTAGAATTTGGAATTCTAAAACTAATCTAGTTCTTTACACATCTTTTAGAAGAATTCATAAGTCCAAACATCTAATAGGTCTAGGGTATGCATTTTTGACAACACTAACCCCATGTTTGGTTTGAAGGAAAAGGAGGGAGAGGAAGGGAGGGGAGGGGAGGGGAAGGGAAGACAATATCCTTCCATTTCCCTCTGTTTTGCTCCCCTCCCATTCCCTAGTTTGGTTATGCTAAAATTATAATAAAGCAAATTAAAGGGGAGCTCCTCCCATCCCTTGCCTTCCCTTCAATTTTTGCCATTCAAATAGCAAAATTTGTCCTATTCCCATCAAACCAAACAAGCTATAAAGGATTACTACATCCTTGCATCATGTTTGGTTGGAGGTAATGGCAATTCTTTCATCAAACTATAAAAATAAGATAAATTTGGGAAGGATTAAGAAATGGGTATTCCTTCATTCTTGAAAAGTTAGACATTAAGCTTTGCTTTTGCTATTCCTAGCTTCATATGGAAGTGCTTGTTTTTAAGGAGTATCCACCACCGCCAACCAAACAATTCTTCACAGATTAAAACTTACCTCTGGCTTCCAAGATCCGAATCTTGAGCAATTCCGAAAACCGTAAAAAGTCAAAGCGACAATCCAAATCTAGGAACATCACTAAATGCCCGAGTCCTCCATACTTGATGCCATCCGACTCTTGAGGCAGGATGCAGTTGATTGCAGCCTGCAATTTTGAACAATCCCACTTAGATTAATGTAAGTACAAAGAAAAGAGAACTGGTGGATCAGAGTTGAAGCATGATTACCTGAATCAAGATGTGGGTTTTGGCGGAAGGAGAAGGACCAACAATTTCGACGACATTGCCGACGCGCAGAGGAACCCGATGAAGAGGAGGAAGAAGCAAGAAGGGCCGATCCGTCTGAACCCTATCGAGCATCTCCTTGGCGCTCTCGTCTTCAACATGCCACTCTTGGGGAACCATAATTGCTTTTCTCGAACAAAATTTGCCGATCAAAGGTCTGCTGAATTGGGGAAACACACCTATGCAACTGCTCGAACGGCGCTAGACTAGGCGCGGGTATATTTTATCTTTTCATGCATATTTTAATGAAATTATTTAAATATTAAATTTTTTATATTGAATTCATCTTAATTGTATTCCTCTTCGTCTTCCCCTAAAATCCCCAAATCTAGTTTTGGATGAATATTTATAGAGCTTAAAAAATAATTTTAAAAAATAGGACCTGTAACAAAAATTAAAATTTTTAA